AGGGCCCTGAGCTGATGATGAGCCTTATCGGCCTGACTGTGCCAGGATCACGCGAACCCTCTCTGCTGGATTTTTCATCTTAATCTGTAAAACATAATAATAATAATCAGCTTGTCTGGTGTCATCCACGCTGTAGAATATGTCTCAAGAAGCTCTTCTAGGTCAGCACGCCTCACCATATGAATACGTCGTGTTGTTCAGGTTGTGGGTTTTTTATCCGTTTGTTTATCATGAAATGTGTTGCTTACATGGATGTGTAGATGCAAATGTCACGTGGTACGGTATAATTAGGGCCTAATGTCCAAGGTTTATATTAGATATCGAGGTGTGCAATAAACCAAGGTGACCTGGCTTTGTGGCTGATGGTAGTTTGTTCGTTTGCTTATTGTTTATCGAATCTGGACCATCCTACTTTTGTTCCAGTTTGAAAAGGACTAAAAGGAGTTCGCTTCAAATGACATTGATTTATTAAACAACTACATTAACGAAAACCAAACACCTTACAGTCACTGTCACGCTTGTTTCTCAACAGAGCAAAAGAAAACATACACCTATGTTTAAAGTTACTATTGTATACGTATTGATTCTATAGTTAAGTATGGGATCGAGTAACTAATGCCTTTATGTTTTATAGATGAAGAACTCGAGACGGCGACAGCAGAGACAACAGTACCTGTAGCTGCGTTACAAGGAGGTCAACAAGTTGAGGCAGAAGACGGCGGCATAGCCATCTTGGCCAGACAAGTGGCGGTGACACGTGACAGACAGAAAGCCGTCTGCAAGCTGGCGGAGTATCCCTTCCAGTGTCCTATGTAATGCTTCATCTGGAGTATTCATGTCAAGTATTGGATGGTTGGTATCACCCATTTACACGCATACTTTGTCATTTCTTTTAGTTTACATTCCAGTGAGTGAGTGAGTTACAATTTATCGTCACATCGGCAATATTTTAGCCATATCGTGACGAGAACAATTAATTGGTATACATAGTAAGTAATGGTAAATTATAAAACTTGTCAACGAAGGACAGTAAAATAACTAGAGGATCACAGATATAGATACAAAACTAGTATGAAAGACTAAAACCTTTCAACTATAGAAGACAATACAATATAAAAAAACAGGCTATATATTGCCAACAACTGAAGGTAGATCACCATACTAGGGACCATGGGGATCATTCCAGTATAATGTATATATATATATATATATATATATATATATATATATATACAGAGGCCCAGATAAGCTGCGTATCTGGGTAAAATACGCATAGAAATTTCCAATTACGCATTGAAAAATAATTGTTGCGTACCAATTACGCATTTAAACTGTTAGATACGCAAAGAGTTTAAAACAAATGCTTCGGAATATACTTATAAAAATCGCTTGCGTAATGAAAAAGACATCGATTGCTATCAAGTTGTATAGGACAAGTGTTGTACTGTCAGTATAGGATGAGGGATTTTTTATGAAATCATTTCCATTATATTTAAGTTGGTTTTGATTAGGTATGACATGAGGCAGAACATACCTGCTTAGTAAATTTACTCAATGACATAATATTTAGGTGAGTAAAATGACTGAAATACGCACATATTTGAAAGCAGTGGGAAACGGAAAATGAAATACCCACTCAACATTCATAATACCCACTCCCAAAAGATACAGTGGGTACAGTACCCACATTAGCTAAATCTTATCTGGAGCTGTGTTTGTTGTTTTTGTTTGCAATTCAAAAGCGACGATAAAATCAAACAATCCTGTAATATATGCACGAACCACATAGGTGAAAGTCGAACCGAATCAAGCTAGTATCGTTAGTTTCGGAGGGCGACTGGTCCAGTGGAACGTGATCCTGTATAGATTGCTTCCCCACCACTGAATGTTCCTTTGCGGAGAGGGGCGGTGGAGTAGCCTAGTGGATGTTTGCGCGTCACGCCGAAGACCCGTGTTCGATTCCTCACATGGGCACAATGTGTGAAGCCCATTTGTGGTGTCCCCCGCCGTGATATTGCTGGAATATTGCTAAAAGCGGCGTAAAGTCACTCACTCACTCACTCCTTTGCGGAGAAGAAGCCGATTTTAGACACATTTGGAGTCAGAGTGTTAATATAAAAACGAGAAAGTGAAAATGCGCTGACATTTGTTTTTAAAAACAAATAACGGAAATTGTTCCCGAAACTACGTGACAAAGACAATTATTCTTCAAATGTGTGTTCCCCAATACCTGCATCATCGCAAGGCTATTTGTTTGGATGCTTAAAATATCTAACCCTAACACAGTTTTAAATTTGCAGCTATTGCTCACAATTTTGCTATACAGAGCACACACACACACACACACACACACACACACACACACACACACACACACACACACACACACACACACACACACACACACACACACACACACACACACACACACACACACACACACATTTACAAAAACTTGGGTTAATAGGTCAGTCGTACAATTATTGTCGAAATATGACGCTTGCAGACTTCTGGGCGTAGAATAGTCAATGAAATTGCAAATGACTTGTTTTGTCGCAGCATCTGTGTCACATCCTTTTCATCTGGGAAATGAATTATAAAAGAACTCTATAATATTTACAGCTTCGATGACAGCTTGGACATAACTATATCCCAGTTGTTAGCTCGATGCTCAAGATCTTCTTGAAAAGCATTCAGAAGTTGGACGAACTTGCATGCATGACATTTATGGATTTTTCACTCGGTTGATAACAGTGTTAGTACCTACACCGAAACGGTGCACTTATTGCAATAAATAAGTTGACTATCCATAGAACTCTGTTGTCTTTCATCTTTACAGCTTCTAAAATGCCTCTCAAAGAAGGAACTTTTTTCTTCTATATATGACTTTTTTGAGTGAATTCTTGCTCCTTCATCTGATGAAGGAGCAAGAATTAGCTCAGAAACGTCGTCAAGATATGAACATTGTTTCACAACCTCTAAATCACACACTCTACAAACTTTCAAGTTATATTATAATGTCGTCTTTGAATAATTATGACCATGAATACAATCCGATCCCTTCGTGATCAAAACTTGTTCCGGGATAAGCCGAATGGCGACTCGTCCTTGCCCAGTGTTGTTAGTTTTGTGACTTGGTTCCGTCTTGGTGCAAAAGGGCACAGCTTAAAAGAATGGTCAGTTGCCATCGGACCATAACTATTTTCAGGCTGTTCTCCTGGTGAATGCTGATTGGTCTGTACCTGCCACAAATCTGTCTGGATCCACTGTCAGGATAAAGTGGTATCCTTTAAGAACAGTGACAACCGGAACGTTTGAGCAGACATGCAGATTGTGGATAAATTGACAGTTACACCAAAGCACAATGCTGATGTTTCATTTACGCTATCACAAGTCACTCTGAAAACATAGGCTCAGAGTAAACGGCCGATTTTAAAAAAGTCATATATTCTGGTTCATGGGGGGGGTGGGTGTGAGCCCAACTAGTGGGACAATATTACGCATACGTGAAAATATCGTGAAAGAAACCACACCTCGCTCTTCATTGTTCTTTGCGATTTATACGAATATGCCCGCCCTTTATTCCGTTTAAACGGACGGAACTGGAGCTCTTTATGGGAGATGTCGTAAATAAGATCCTCTAACAAGCAGGATGCCCGGAACGGCTAACGTGGACTCGTTGTAATGCATTACTATGACAACTGATACTGAATAACGTTTTGTTTCGTTTTCTAGAAGTTGGTGGTATATAAGAAAAGTACGACTTTATGGATAACCAACTTCCGGTTTATTGCATCAAGCGGCTTCGAGCCTCTTACAGGTTACTATTAATCTGTTTTAATACATTCGGGGATTACATATGAATTAGGTAATGAATTTTTCATTCCCCAAGTTTGCGATTAAGCGCTATTGTGAGATTGGAGTCTTGGATTTGACGTAAACATAAAAAAAATTGTTTTGAAACAACACGAATACAACAAACACGTCGCAGTCGCTGGTACTCACATACATTCACAAACTGACATGCAAGTGAGTTAATGTCACATGAAGATTTAATGCAGCGAAGTTTAGCTTATTGATTATTGCAGGTACACATACTAAAACATTGTTATTCCGCACCTGTTCCTGGATATTATACGTGCATACACAGGGCCACATTCTTCTAGACCATATCACTGACGATTTTATAAATATGCATTAAACGTTATTAATCCAGACACCATCACTGATCATTCTCTATACATACACCGGACCACACTCTTCCCGACCCTGTCACTGATAATATCATAGATATAATTGAACCTCATTCTTGCAGACATATCACAGATTATTGTATGTTCACACACTAAACATTGTTAGTGAGGACCCTATCACTAATAATATTATAGATATAATTGAACCTCATTCTTGCAGACATATCACAGATTATTGTATGTTCACACACTAAACATTGTTAGTGAGGACCCTATCACTAATAATATTATAGATATAATTGAACCTCATTCTTGCAGACATATCACAGATTATTGTATGTTCACACACTAAACATTGTTAGTGAGGACCCTATCACTAATAATATTATAGATATAATTGAACCTCATTCTTGCAGACATATCACAGATTATTGCATGTTCACACACTAAACATTGTTAGTGAGGACGCTGTCACTGATTAGTATACAGGACTTTCTGTAAGTAACTGACCCCCAGTTACGTGTAGTCAACAAGAGAATATACAGAACAAAAGATATACCTTTAACATCAAGACTCTCAGCTTATCGTAACTGTTATGACAGCATCTGTACTCGTGGGCGTGTTTATAGACACAATCAGAGTATGCTTTTCAAAGTGCAGGCATGTTATCTGAAATATGCAGCATTTCTATTCACATGTATATTTCTTATTGTATATTTAGTAGACTATTCAGTTTAATGCCACTGTAGGTGGAACATCTATATTTCAGTCTTGCGCAGAGTCAGATAACATGACCCAGTTTGGTGAGGTCAAGGCAGGAGGTCATTCTCAAGAGACAGTCATTCAGGCAGATAAGAGCAGTGGGTGTCAGTTATAACAATGTCGGTTTCTAAGACGGTCACTTTGCCCGGGGGTGCCAAGATTCCATCCGTGGGGTGCGGGACGTGGACCGTGTGGGAGGTAAGAGAGGGAGGGGGATGTGATGAGGCAGGGTACGGGGCTTGGGTCGAGTTGTGGGTAAGAGGGGGAGGGTGATGTGATGAGGAAGGGGTTTGGAACGTGGGTCGTGTGGGGGGTAAGAGGGGAGGGTGATGAGGCAAGGGGTCGGAACGTGGGTCGAGTGGGAGGTAAGAGGGGAGGGTGATGTGATGAGGCAGGGGGTTTGGACGTGAGTCCTGTGGGAGGAAGTAAGAGGGGAGGGTGATGTGATGAGGCAGGGGTTTGGGACGTGGGTCGAGTGGGAGGTAAGAGGGAGAGGGGTGATGTGATGAGGCAGGGGTTCGCGACGTGGGTCGAGTGGGAGGTAAGAGAGGGAGGGTGATGTGATGAGGCAGGGGTTTGGGACGTGGGTCAGAGTGGGAGGTAAGAGGGGGAGGGAGGTGATGAGGCAGGGGTTTGGACGTGGGTCGAGTGGGAGGTAAGCAGGGAGGGTGATGATGAGGCAGGGGTTTGGGACGTGGGTCGAGTGGGAGGTAGAAGGGGGAGGGGATGTGATGAGGCAGGGGTTCGCGACGTGGGTCGAGTGGGAGGTAAGAGGGAGGTCGATGTGATGAGGCAGGGGTTCGGGACGTGGGTCGAGTGGGAGGTAAGAGGGGAGGGTGATGTGATGAGGCAGGGTTTGGGACGTGGGTCGAGTGGGAGGTAAGAGGGGGAGGGTGATGAGGGCAGGGGTTTGGACGTGGGTCGAGTGGGAGGTAAGCAGGGAGAGTGATGTTATGAGGCAAGGGTCAGGACGTGGGTCGAGTGGGAGAGTAGAGAGGGGAGGTGATGTGGTGAGGCAGGGGGTTTGGACGTGGGTCGAGTGGGAGGTAAGAGGGGAGGGTGATGTGATGAGGCAGGGGTTTAGGACGTGGGTCAGAGTGGGAGGTAGAGGGGAGGAGTGATGTTATAAGGCAAGGGGTCAGGACGTGGGTCGAGGGAGGTAAGAGGGGGAGAGGGATGTGATGAGGCAGGGGGGTTTGGACGTGGGTCAGTGGGAGGTAAGAGGTAGTAGGGTGATGTGATGAGGCAAGGGGTTTGGGACGTGGGTCGAGTGGGAGGTAAGAGGAGAGGAGTGATGTGATGAGGCAGAGGTTTGGGACATGGGTCGAGTGGGAGGTAAGAGGTGAGGGTGATGAGGCAGGGGTTTGGACGTGGGTCGAGTGGGAGGTAAGAGGGGAGGGTGATGTTATGAGGCAAGGGGTCAGGACGTGGGTCGAGTGGGAGGTAAGAGGGGGGGGGGTGATGTGGTGAGGCAGGGGTTTGGACGTGGGTCGAGAGTGGGAGGTAAGAGGGGAGGGTGATGTGATGAGGCAGGGGTTTAGGACGTGGGTCGAGTGGGAGAGTAAGAGGGGAGGGTGATGTTATAAGAGCAAAGGGGTCGGGACGTGGGTCGAGGGGAGGTAAAGAGGGGGAGGGATGTGATGAGGCAGGGGGTTTGGACGTGGGTCGAGTGGGAGAGTAAGAGGGTAGGAGTGATGTGATGAGGCAAGGGGGTTTGGGACGTGGGTCGAGAGTGGGAGTAGAGAGGGAGGAGTGATGAGGCAGGGGTTTGGGACGTGGGTCGAGTGGGACGTAAGAAGGGGTGGGAGGTAAGAGGGGGAGGGTGATGTGATGAGGCAGGGGTTTGGACGTGGGTCGAGAGTGGGAGGTAAGAGGGGAGGGTGATGTGATGAGGCAGGGGTTTCGGACGTGGGTCGAGTGGGAGGTAAGAGGGAGGGTGATGTTATGAGGCAGGGGGTTTGGACGTGGTTCGAGTGAGGGGGAGGTAAGAGGGAGGGTGATGTGATGAGGCAGGGGTTTGGGACGTGGGTCGAGTGGGAGGTAAGAGGGGAGAGTGATGAGGCAGGGGTTTGGGACGTGGGTCGAGTGGGAGGTAAGAGGGGGGAGAGTGATGAGGCAGGGGTTTGGGACGTGGGTCGAGTGGGAGGTAAGAGGGGAGAGTGATGAGGCAGGGGTTTGGACGTGGGTCGAGTGGGAGGTAAGAGGGGAGAGTGATGAGGCAGGGGTTTGGGACGTGGGTCGAGTGGGAGGTAAGAGGGGGAGGGTGATGTGATGAGGCAGGGGCTTGGGACGTGGGTCGAGTGGGAGGTAAGAGGGGGAGGGTGATGTCATGAGGCAGGGATTTGGGACGTGGATCGAGTTGGAGGTAAGAGTAGGCGGGGTGATGTGTTGATGTTTCAATACTGATTCAGAATTAGCGTGTCGAAATAACGTGAAATAAGACATTGGTTTTAACATATATTTAAAAATGACCTAACATGCACACACACGCACGCACGCACGCACGCACACATACATTCAACATTTTTGTCAAAACAGAAATTCAGAGATTAGGGTGACAGGCGTTGTCACTGTTTGAAGTCGATAAGATTTTCAGATTGATTATCTTCGATGGAAAGGGATTTAAATAACTGAATATTTACTACAAGACAGCAAATAGTGTTTTTTCATCCTAAGGGACTGAGCATTGATCACAGGCACGGTCCTCGGTGAATGTGATGAGGCAGGGGTTGGGGACGTGGGTCGAGTGGGAGGTAAGAGGGGAGAGTGATGAGGCAGGGGTTTGGGACGTGGGTCGAGTGGGAGGTAAGAGGGGGAGGGTGATGAGGCAGGGGTTTGGGACGTGGGTCGAGTGGGAGGTAAGAGGGGCTAGGGTGATGTGATGAGGCAGGGGTTTGGGACGTGGGTCGAGTGGGAGGTAAGAGGGGGAGTGTGATGTCATGATGCAGGGGTTCGGGACGTAGGTCAAGTTGGAGGTAAGAGTAGGCGGGGTGATGTGTTGATGTTTCAACACTGATTCAGAATTAGCGTGTCGAAATAACGTGATATAAGACATTGGTTTCAACATATATTTAAAAATGACCTAACATGCACACACGCACGCACGCACGCACGCACACATACATTCGACATTTTTGTCAAAACAGAAATTCAGAGATTTGGATGACAGGAGTTGTCACTGTTTGAAATCGATAAGATTTTCAGATTGATTATCTTCGATAGAAAGGGATTTAAATAACTGAATATTTACTACAAGACAGCAAATAGTGGGGGTTTTCATCCCAAAGGACTGAGCATTCATCACAGACACGGTCCTCGGTGAATGTGGTCTTTTTTTCTTCCCAGTTCAATATATGTGTATCTGTTGACTTGCTCATAGTGTGAGCGCGCTATCTTCTTTTCCTATCTATCCGAGTTATCTCGATGGGACAAAGATATGCAAGGCCAGCATGCGCGTGGTTAACACAATCACTCACTGAGCAGTTTTCGATAAAAGAAATAGTTCTTTATCATGGTTATGGATGTAGCCATAGCAACGGTATCTGGTTGAGTGCGATTGCGAAATCATAAAAATTTAAAGTCGACATTTCAACGTCAGCTCAGTTTCAGATTCAAACAAAACTGTATCCCACCTTCGTTGAAGTCAACCATTGTTTCAACGTTGTGCTGTCTGATGTTGATTTAAGTAGATTTTTCAATATCAGTTCTAGGGCTGAGACGATTCACCGATGCATCGATGCATCGCGATACATTTAAGAAGAAGATTGTTTATTAAAGTGCCACATGATGTTCATAATAAAAAACATCATAAAATATTGGCATAAAATAGAGTACAACGCCCGGCCAATACGGCCTATGAGACACTATATTGCATTTAAAAACAGAAGTTAAAATTTGATAATAAATTGCTAACAGCTATAGTTGGTGGAACAGTGTAGTATTAAAATAGCGTAATGTTGCTAGGATTGTTAAGTTGGTCCCCGACGTTAGGACAACAACAAGATGAAGGTAAATAGTGAAGAGGTAGGTTAACTTGTGAGTTGACGACGCCTTAACATGCGTAGGAGTAAAACGGCTACTTGTTTAATAAACTGGTTATCTTGCATAATGAGAGTGACCTGGTCAACAGGGGTGTACTGGGTAATAAAGGAAGGGTATACTGTGTGACAGCGTTCCATAAGTCATATCTGATATCCGAATAAATACTACAACATGCCAAGAAGTGAATTTCAACCTCGACTTCATTGCTGTTGCATTTACTGCAAATGCGTTCTTCCAAAGGGGTCTTAGGTCGTTTAAATCTGCCTAGTTCGACCTGTAAAGGTAATGTACCACAACGGAATTTTGCAAATATACAACGTTGCGATCTGTCCAAATAGTGTTGACGTAGCTCTCTGTAAAAAGATGTTGCTTAAATAGACGAAATGTGCGTAATTTGTTACCATTCACTTGTCCCCTGTCATTCCACAGCTCTGAGAGTCATTCCCTATAGTCTAACGTTAAGAGCCATTCCTGCACAGACTTGAGATCTGACCGAGACATGCTGTTTACATCAGTGACTGGGAGCTGTAAAGAACTAAGTAGTGACAGAACATTATTATACCATGATTTTCTGAACTTAGTAGACCATCTGTTAATGGCATTGAGTATTGTACTATGACTGTTAAAATGCAGCTTATGCCAAAATCTCACAATTTCAACTTTATGTTTGGTAAAGGCAGAACACCAGCCCATTTCACCCATTTTAACACCTAAAAAGAACCTACAGGCACGGTTTCTGATGGCATTTATACAGCTGAATTACCGGGTGCCCCAAATAGCTGACCCATAAGATAAAATAGGCTGGACTAAATTGTCGAACAAGGTATTAAAAACATCATAGGCCAACGCCAACGGTTTTAAACTTACAAATTATAACGCCCAAAGCACGGCTAGCAGACTTAGCAAGTTCTTTAGCTGTAACGCTCCAGTCAATATGTTCGTGGAACCAAAGGCCCAGGTATTTGTATGCATGGCTATACTCTATGATACTATCACCAATGGTAAACGTACGTTGAGACCTGTTCATAGACACAGGACGGAAATGGATAACTTTCGTTTTACCAATGTTAACAGACAACCTCCATCGAGAGCACCAGTCAGCCACACAATCTAGCAGTCGCTTTAAACAGAGTTCGTCGGGTGCAAGGAGAGCTATGTCATCTGCGTACAGTAACGTACTAAGCATAAGGTCGCCTATTCTAATACCACATGACAGACTGTTAATTTCATCTACTAAGTCATTAATATACAGTGAAAACAGCGTCGGCGACATCACGAAGCCTTGACGGAGACCAGATATAACTGGAAATGGGTTTGTAAGAAAGTTGTTGACACGGACGCTAGACCAAGTGTTAGCATATATTGCTTGTATAGCGTCGAGGAATCTACCCTGAATCCCAATTTGTCTAAGCTTATACCACAGGCAATCACGGTTTACTTTGTCAATAGCTTTTCGTATATCAATAAAACGAACAAATGTAGACTGGCGTGTTGACTTTCTGTTACTAATGACAGAGTTAAGACAATAAATATGTTCAGTGGTACTACGTTTAGCACGGAAACCATTCTGTTCATCTGCTAAAACATCATTATATTTCAACCAGTTACTTAAACGAGTGTTTAAAATATCACAGTAAAGTTTGCATGGTACAGGAATGAGCGATATACCTCTACAACCCAAGGATCTCTGGGGTCATTATCTGGTTTAGGTATTGGATTAATAATGCTTGAACGCAAAACATCCGGACAATTACTGTTGTCATAACAAGATGTAAACAACCTAAAGAGAATGTCAATACACGATCGCTTCTTCAGGCTCGTTTTGCACGAGCAACAGCTGCCTCAACCTCAGCCAGCGAGATGGGTTTGTCCAGGTCACTAGTGTCAGGTGTAACGTCGCATGGCACACTCTTGTCATCCAGTGCCTGGCGCACGTGTGTCAGGTGTGGGTCGCTTTGACCTGAAGGGGACGTGTCCACAAACAGTGCACTGTAATTTTTTCCCACTTATTCATCACATTACGTTTATGAGTTGATAAGTTTAAGTTTGATACAGCTATCGTATCGTGTGGACTGGTGTATCGATACAAAACGGGGCACAACTTTTTTTTCAAATCGTAAACATGTTACAGTACTTATTTAGAGAAAAATACGCAAGTATGATAGAGTTACTTGTTTGTGTATTACAATAGTGTTATTGTTAAACACAAATACCTTGAAATAAATCATTTTAAATCTTGATACCATGTCATTCTTTCAAGGTGTATGTATCGTGATACGCATCGTATCGCAGGTAAAATATCGCGATATGTATCGTATCGTAACATGGTGTATCGTCCCAGCCCTAAAATTCAGTTCAGTTTCAAATCCAACCCAAGTCTGTAACCCATAGGTGACATGATGACTGATGACTGCATCCCACTGTAACAAGACTGATATACTGATGACTGCATCCTACTGTAACAAGACTGGCATACTAATGACTGCATCCTACTGTAACAAGACTGGCATACTGATGACTGCATCCTACTGTAACAAGACTGGCATACTGATGACTGCATCCTACTGTAACAAGACTGACATACTAATGACTGCATCCCTGTAACAAGACTGACACAAGATGATGACTGCATCCTACTGTAACAAGACTGACATATTTGATGACTGCTGTAACAAGGCTGATCCTACAGTCACACAGCTGACACATTAATGACTACATCCTACTGTAACAGGGCTGACATATTGATGACTGCATCCCACTCTTACAAGACTGACATACTGATGACTGCATCCTACTGTAACAAGGCTGGCATACTGATGACTGCATCCCACTGTAACAAGGCAGACATATTGATGACTGCATCTGTAACTACTGTAACAAGGCAGACATACTGATGACTGCATCCCACTGTAACAAGTAACAGACATACGGATATACTGCATCCCACAGGCTAACAACTGTAACAGACATACTGATGACTGCATCCTACTTTTACAGAAGGATGACTGACACTGTAACAAGACAGATACTGATGACTGCATCCTACTTTTACAAGGCTGACATACTGATGACTCCATCCCACTCTAACAAGACTGATGTATTGATGACTGCATCCCACTCTAACAAGTGTGATATTCTGAAGACTGCATCCTACTGTAACAAGGCTGACATACGGATGACTGCATCCTACTGTAACAAGACTCACATATTGATTACTGCATCCTACTGTAACAAAACTGACATACTGATGACTGCATCCCACTCTAACAAGACTGATGTTCTGAAGACTGCATCCTACTGTAACAAGGCTGACATATTTATGACTGCATCCTACTGTAACAAGACTGATATACTAATGCCTGCATCCTACTGTAACAAGACTGACATACTAATGACTGTATCCTACTGTAACAAGACTGATATACTAATGACTGCATCCTACTGTAACAAGACTGACATACTAATGACTGCATCCTACAGTAACAAGACTGATATACTAATGCCTGCATCCTACTGTAACAAGACTGACATACTAATGACTGCATCCTACTGTAACAAGACTGATATACTAATGCCTGCATCCTACTGTAACAAGACTGACATACTGATGACTGCATCCTACTGTAACAAGACTGACATACTAATGACTCCATCCTACTGTAACAAGACTGACATACTGATGACTGCATCCCACTCTAAAAGGACTGACATACTAATGACTGCATCCCACTGTAACAAGACTGATAAACTGATAACTGCATCCCACTCTAACAAGACTGATATATTGATGACTGCTTCCCACTGTAACAAAGCAGACACACTGATGACTGCATCCTACTGTAACAAGGCTGACACATTAATAACTGCATCCTAGTGTAACAAGACTGACACATTAATGACTGCATCCCACTGTAACAAGGCTGACACATTCATGACTGCATCTCACTGTAACAAGACTGACAAATTAATGACTGCATGCTACTGTAACAAGACTGACATACTGATAACTGCATCCCACCGTAACAAGGCAGACATACTAATAACTGCATCCCACTGTAACAAGGCTGACATACTGATGACTGCACCCCACTGTAACAAGGCAGACATACTGATAACTGCATCCCACTGTAACAAGGCTGACATACTGATGACTGCACCCCACTGTAACAAGGCAGACATACTGATAACTGCATCCCACTGTAACAAGGCTGACATACTGATGACTGCATCCCACTGTAACAATGCAGAGATACTTATGACTGCATCCCACTGTAACAAGGCTGACATACTGATAACTGCATCCCACTGTAACAAGGCAGACATACTGATGACTGCATCCCACTGTAACAATGCAGACATACTGATGACTGCATCCTACTGTAACAAGGCAGACACATTAATGACTGCATCCTACTGTAACAAGGCTGACACATTAATGACTGCATCCTTCTGTAACAAGACTGACATACTGATAACTGCATCCCACTGTAACAAGGCAGACATACTGATGACTGCATCCCACTGTAACAAGGAAGAAATAATGATGACTGCCTCCCACTGTAACAAGGCAGACATACTGATGACTGCATCCAACTAACAAGGCAGACGCATTAATGACTGCATCCTACTGTAACAAGGCTGACACATTGATGACTGCATCCTAGTGTAACAAGAGTGACATACTGATAACTGCATCCCACTGTAACAAGGCAGACATACTGATGACTGCATCTCACTGCAACAAGGCAGACATACTGATGACTGCATCCCACTGTAACAAGGCAGACATACTGATGACTGCATCCTACTGTAACAAGACAGGCATACTGATGACTGCATCCCACTGTAACAAGGCTGACACATTAATGACCGCATCCTAGTGTAACAAGACTAACATACTGATGACTGCATCCCACTGTAACAAGGCAGACATACTTATGACTGCATCTTACTGTAACAAAACAGACACACTGATGACTGCATCCCACTGTAACAAGGCTGACACATTAATGACTGCATCCCACTGTAACAAGGCTGACACATTAATGACTGCATCCCACTCTAACAAGGCAGACACATTAATGACTGCATCCTACTGTAACAAGGCAGACACATTAATGACTGCATCCTACTGTAACACGGCTGACACATTAATGACTGCATTCCACTCTAACAAGGCTGACATACTGATAACTGCATCCCACTCTAACAAGACTGACATATTGATTACTGCATCCCACTCTAACACGACTGATATATTGATGACTGCATCCTACTGTAACAAGACTGACATACTGATGACTGCATCCTACTCTAACACGACTGTTACACCACGACTGATATATTGATGACTGCATCCTAACTGTTACACTGTTACCATACACTGTTACACTACACCGTTACACCTCACTGTTACACTACATTTTGATGATTGAATGTTTCAGGCGCCACCTGGTGCGGTCTGTGAGGCGGTCAAAGCTGCCATCGCGGAAGGATACAGACACATCGACTGTGCGTGGGCGTATGCTAACGAGCATGAAGTTGGTGAAGGAATAGAGGCTAAAATCAAAGATGGCACCGTGGCGAGAGGTGACTTGTTTGTCACCACCAAGGTAGACTAGGTCGACATGTTTTGTAAATCAAACAAAACACACAGTTATGGTTGATATTTTGTATTCTAGTAACGTAATGTAAAGCATAGGCGGATCCAGAGGGGGTGGCAGGGGTGCGCACCCCCCTTTTTGTGCTGAAGGTTTGTTAAATGACCATTGAAACGCGGGTGAAAATGAAATGTGCACCCCTCCTTTTCTCAATAGTGTGCACCCCCTTTCTCAAAAAGCTGTATCCGCCGCTGTAAAGTAATGTTCACGGTGAGAACATGTCTACAGAAACCCCAAAGATATCATGTAGATATATACTTCATAACAAATCACTTAAGGATCTTGAATATTTTTGGTGATATTTGTTTGTCGTAAAAACAGAGTATTCACTTTCATTACAAATCCCCCAAAATGTTCGTGATCCATAACTTTTTGTGTAAATATCGTAACAACGGGAATATATTATTTGGGTTATTCGCTGACCTCCAACCTGTGCGGACATACCATTTTGCCATCTCTTTATAGAGTAATACCAACGTAGGTCAAATAGTGACCGGATTGCAGTGTGCCGGTGCTCTCGGGGCACTAATGCTTTGTTCCTGTGATGTAGCTATGGGACACCGCTCACAGACGCGGCGCCGTCACAGAGCAGCTGAAGAAGGCCCTCGTGAACCTCAAGCTGGACTACCTTGACCTGTACCTTATCCACTGGCCCACATCCTTAAAGGTCAGTTGGTAATTAACACCGCAGCAATATATCAGATGTCCCTCCGTCATGTGAATAGTCGACTCTGGACCAGGCAAAGCAGTGACTGAACGGTAAATTGTAGTGTGGGGGTAGACTGGATGGTAGTAGTGGTGGTAGACTTGGTGGTGGTGGTGATAGACTGGATGGTAGTGGTCGTGGTAGACTTGTAGGTAGTGGTCGTGGTAGACTGGGTGGTGGTGATGGTAGACTGGATGGTAGTGGTGGTGGTGGACTTGATGGTGGTAGTGGTGGTGGTGGTAGACTTGATGGTGGTGGTGATAGACTGGATGGTAGTAGCGGTGGTAGACTGGATGGTGGTGGTGGTAGACTGGATGGTAGTGGACGTGGTAGACTGGATGGTAGTGGTCGTGGTGGACTGGATGGTGGTGGTGATAGACTGGATGGTAGTGGTGGTGGTAGACTTGATGGTGGTGGTGATAGACTGGATGGTAGTAGCGGTGGTAGACTGATGTGGTGGTGAGACTTAATGGTAGACTGTGGTGGTGGTGGTAGACTTGATGGTAGTGGTGGTGGTGGACTTGATGGTGGTGGTGATAGACTGGATGGTAGTAGCGGTGGTAGACTTGATGATGGTGGTGATAGACTGGATGGTAGTAGCGGTGGTAGACTGGATGGTGGTGGTGGTAGACTGGATGGTAGTGGTCGTGGTGGTGGACTTGATGGTGGTGGTGATAGACTTGATGGATGGTATGGTAGCGGTGGTAGACTTGATGAGTCTGGATGGGTGGTGATAGACTGGATGGTAGTAGCGGTGGTAGACTGGATGGTGGTGGTGGTAGACTTGATGGTAGTGGACGTGGTAGACTTGATGGTAGTGGTGGTGGTGGACTGGATGGTAGTGGACGTGGTAGACTGGATGGTAGTGGTCGTGGTGGACTGGATGGTGGTGGTCGTGGTAGACTGGATGGTGGTGGTGGTGGTAGACTGGATGGTAGTGGTGGTAGACTTGATGGTAGTAGTGGTGGTAGACTTAATGGTGGTGGTGATAGACTGGATGGTAGTGGTGGTGGTAGACTGGATGGTAGTGGTGGTGCTAGACTGGATGGTAGTGGTGGTGGTGGTGGACTGGATGGTAGTGGTGGTGGTGGACTGGATGGTAGTGGTGGTGGTGGTAGACTGGATGGTAGTGGTGGTGGTGGTGGACTGGATGGTAGTGGTCGTGGTAGACTTTCTGGTATTGTGGTGGACTGGATGGTAGTCGTGGTGGTGGACTGGATGGTAGTGGTGGTGGTTGGTGGACTGGATGGTAGTAGTCGTGGTAGACTGGATGGTAGTGGTCGTGGTAGACTGGATGGTATTGTGGTGGTAGATTGGATTGTAGTGGTGGTGTTACACTGGATTTGAATGGTGGTGTGGTGGTGGTACACTGCATACTAGTGGCAGTGGCGGTGGTAGACTGGATAGTAGTGGTGATAGTAGACTAAATGGTAGCGGTGGTGGTGATAGACTAAATGGTAGTGGCGTTGGTAGACTGGATAGTAGTGGTGATAGTAGACTAAATGGTAGCCGTGGTGGATTGTAGTGTTAGTGGTCGTGCTGGCGGTATACCTACCTATATTTACTGTGAATCTCCCATTTTTAATTATTTTGTGATTATTTCTGCAGCTGCTTTTGTTTACATTTTAGGAAGGCGACGAAAACTTCCCCCAAGACGAAAACGGCAAACATATCTTCGCTTTCCATGATCTCTTGGACACATGGAAGGTTGGTGCGGTAGTTCTAGTGCTGGATAGTGCTGGGTAGTGGTGGATAGTGCTCTGTGGTGCTGGATAGTTCTGGGCAGTACTCTATAGCGCTCATGTTGGTAGGCAATGCTGGGTATTGCTAAGTTAAGCTTGGTAGTGCTGGATATTGCCAAGCAATATCTGATATCGCTATCTGGATAGCGCTGGGTAATGATGCTCCTAGTACGGCAAAGTGATGTAACTATGCTTACCTGGAACATTGATTGACGCACTGTCACTCAACAACACTGTACCACGACCTCAGTAGCCGTAGAATATCAACTTAGTAACTGCATATGTAGATCTATAACACTGTAACTAGGTGATGCTGTCACTGAACTGTAGAACTGTGTCATGGTAACTATATATCAGCGAAACTCTGTACCCATGTAACACTGCACCACCCTCCCACCCAGGGGATGGAAGACGCGGTGGATGCAGGGCTGGCAAAGAATATCGGTATCTCGAACTTCAACAGCCAACAGGTGCAGAGAGTCATAGATGGGGCTCGGATCAAGCCATGCAACATCCAGGTAACACACGCACAAACACACACGCACGCACGCACGCACGCACACACACGCACACACACACACACACACTCAATTGATTGATGTGTTTCTTTCAGTAAAAACGAGACGTACGTCCACGGTGACGCACAGTCAACTTAAAGGCACTATTTCACACCACTCTTCTCTAAAAATAAATAATGCATTAATCTTAATAATACTATCTGCCCTCAGGGAAGGTATCATATAATTTATTCCCCCCAAAATTATGTATTTACATTAAAATATACAATTATAAAGTTCGAATGAATTAATGTAACGTTGAATTAAATCAACTCTCGAGCCCTCTACCGGCCGAAAAATATTTCATGCGAACCCCATAGAGTTATGTCCCTTAGAATGTTTTTTTACGAATATCACAAGTTGTGACTGAAACCAGTTCGGCAAACACCGACAGCACCGCGTGCGACAGTTTTCGATGTACGGAGCAATTGTTTACATTCCATATATGGCAAGTGTTCTCTGTTTGAAAGCTGTTCGCCTCGAAGTTTCAATTATCGATTACAGGCAAGTCATAAGGGATGATGATTCTTTCATTGCATCAATAGGAAGCTAAAATGAGTGCATGTGCCCCAATATATATAATATAGGCCAAAGTATTGTCGAACATGGGTGAATTCTTGCCTTTTAAAGACAACTACAACTGTAATTGTCATATGCAAGTGTGAATATGACTTTGTGTAAGATTCCTCCCCATTACTCCCCATCCTCCAACCACCATCCCTCTCCTCCCCCCACGTCAGCCTCCCCATTCCATCCCCTCCCATCGTCATCTCCTCCCACTGTCCAATGTTCCAATTTATAATATTTCAAATTTATTTATTTAAAAACAACAACTTTTTCATGAAATAGACCACCACTGTCGTCACCTCCTTTCCTAGTGTCAGTGCCCATGGCATCCCTTAATATCGCCGTAAACTCCTATAAAATATTGATTGTCCCTTAGTAAAAAATAATCAAGTTGTTTATATTTTTGTTGAAAGCGTTCAATCAAAGATGTATTTATATAAGTACTCCCGTCATCAGCGGATATTGACATCTTCTGTGGCAGTATTTTTATGATAATAAGTCCTTGAAAATGGTCGTGTAAAGGGGTTGTCATCTTTACCTTGTGTTTCATTCCAGATCGAGGTGAACCCATTCTTCAGTAACGTAAAGCTGATTGACTTCTGCCGAGAACGGGGACTGACTGTCACTGCCTACGCTCCGTTCGGGAACCCCAACAGGCCATGGTAATACCATCCTATATACTCGTAATAGATACTGCAGAAACCCAATTTCATTGAGGGGACAAACAACGCCCAAGGCCTTACATACAGGGGATAGACCACATCCCACCCTTACATACAGAGGATACACAACATCCCACCCTTACATACAGAGGATACACAGCATCCCACCCTTACATACAGAGGATAGACACATCCCACCCTTACATACAGAGGATACACAACATCCCACCCTTACATACAGAGGATACACAGCATCCCACCCTTACATACAGAGATACACAACATCTCACCCTTACATACAGAGATAGACAACACTCCACCCCTTACATACAAAGGATAGACCACATCCCAGCCCTCACATACAAAGGATAGAAAACACAAACCTTTCGACATGGCATTGACGACACCTTCCCTTTTACCCACCCAGGATGGACTAGAATAAATTCTTTGCAGACAAGGGATGAATCACAAGCGAGGATACACTACAACCCAAATACCAACAATAAATGATCGTTGTGTATCATTTCATAAAACTATGTTTCTTTAACAGTTCTGTCACTCATTCGGGACGTCATATTTGACGTTGACGTTAAGACACTACGCTGATTGTATCTAAACTAAAATGTCTGTGTACTGCAAACATTTCTCTATATTCCATATTTCTTTTCTGCCTTTGGTCATGTTTCCTTCCAAATATTCATTTCCAGGAAGAAAAGTGACGACCCATTGCTATTCGAGCAGCCAATCTTGAAAGAAATCGCTGCCGCCAAAGGAAAAACCCCTGCCCAGGTCTGAAGCATCGTTCATGGCACCCTTGTTGTCTTGACAACCACGGAGCATTAAATGTGATACTTTAATAATGTATCGGAATTGGCATTCATAAGAGAGAAATGTGTTGGTGTTGCTCCAAACAATTCTAACTAGTCGTTGACCATTTCGTGTCGTTCCCCTCAAGGTGAGGTGAAATTGGGTTTCATTTCAGCGATTCTTGTTCCTGATTAGGACACATAAAAATAATTTTTCGTTTCTCATTACCACCCGACCCAAAACTTTGGCCAGAGCCTATTTTTTCATTTATCTTTTTGCACTGGTAAATTTGCGTGTATAAAACCCGCAGACTTCCGAAATCCGTCTCAGCTTCCAGCATTCCAAGTTTTCGACTAACATTGTATAGAGAATTAATGACACCATATCATATTGAAGTCAATGAATTATTGGCAAGTTGCATAGCTTCAATTTGTTAATCACCTATACAAATTCATGAAAACGCACGTCCATAAACATGTTAAAGTTATTAAGCTTTCTCATTATAGACAATATTTTTATATTTCCCGATATTATCTGGAGATATCGACCAAGTCAATCTATTGTTTGAATTTGCAACCACCTGACCCAAATCATTACGAAACGTTCTACATTTGTGCCGAAAAAGTAAGATTTGTCTTTTTTGAAAGACAGGACGTCTTTGATACCAATCCACAGTTGTGTATTAAGTGATAAAAGTATTTCGTTTGTTTGATTGAACTTTAAAATAAATTCATAGTTCCCAATTGCATAGATGGATGCTCTTGCTGTCTATCACTGGATTGTCTGGTCCAGACCGTCGCCTTGTAGCATACATTGCTGATTGCCGCGTTAAACATCACTCACTCACTCACGTACGCACGCACTCACTCACTCACTCAGTATTAATGCTGTGTAGTGAAGTATCGTCTTGTGTTATCAACTAACATTAGCAGATCATGTTGAGACATTGTATTCTATAACGGTTCAGGTGTGTCTGAGGTTCCTCCTCCAGCGGGGATTGGCCATCGTTCCAAAGAGCGTCACGCCCTCCAGGATCAAGGAGAACTTTCAGGTAGGCCATACCACAAAACCGATCACTGCGGACACAGGTAAACCGGAAACCCGCTTTATGGACAACTACTGTTAGGACGTCTGTAATTCAACACTGGCTCGACCAAGTAAACTGACTGACACCCTCTGGAAATATGGTAGGCTATATTTATCTTACATTTTATAGAATTGATGAGCATACATTGAATAACGAACCCAGTTTTCGTTATCAAGAAGTTCTGAATAATCAAACACCTCATGCTCATTGGTACACCTGTGAATGGAACCCGCAATCTCTTATTACATGAGTATCAATGTATATATATGACAGAGCTACTATAGATATTCCATTTAAAGCGTTTGAATAACGAACCCTCTGCTAGCACGTTATTCGTTATTCGAAAGACGAATAACGAAACACGAACCGGCTGCTAACTTCAGGCTGCTTCTGGTGACTGTAACTTTACCGTTATGTTTGTATATTTCAGTTGTTCGACTTCGAGCTGTCAGAGGCTGAGATGAAGCAACTGTTCAGTCTGAACAGAGATTTCCGTGTCTATGAACAGGACATGTGAGTATCACATTTGTAACACCTCGCTTGTACCCTGAAATAGTCACTGTGTATTAAGAGAGTATTGATATTCACAACATACTTATTAAAGAACAACTAATGATATATGGACAACGAATGCGAGAATACGTCAACCGACCGAACTGTCAAATCTCCACGTGATTTAAATAACATTAAATAACATTAAAACTACTTCACACATTGTAAATCCTCAAAGCGCCCTCTGATGTTTAAAGCTTTTTGACTGCATATTCGCAAAATCTTTTTGAAAAATTCTTAGATCTGAATTAATAAACTATCACGGTTACATACTTCTTATTTAATAACTGACGCTCAGAAATCCGTTGACAACAAAGCACCATCTGGCATCTTTCAGCTTAATAATGTAACACCGTGGTATCGGCCAATCAGGTAAAAGTAGTCGTTTAGCCGACATCATCATTACTGGTTGTTGAGCAGTGGTATACACATGCATTTTTATCGGTAGAAAGTTTGGAATCGCTTGTTTTCCAGAACCAATTTTGCCAAACTTTGCATCCATGCTATTTTACAAATGTACATAGATACTCTGAGAGTGTGAGTTCGAGTCCCGTATGCGACTCATCTCAATATAGTACTAGAATTTCTACTTTACAGAGAAAGTGTAATGCCAAATATGTATAACATATCATATGATATGTTACATTTGATCACTTTCTAAATGGACCAGTGTAGTCCTTGCATCAACTCATGCCATTATGTAACTTGATAATGTTTTCCAAAAATGTTTACATGTAATCATGTTATACTTCACTATGCGCCATAAACACGTGGAAAAGATTGAGGTCATATTCAGTGTGAAAAGGTCACTGGGAAAGGTCATGGTTATATTCATCAGTTCGGTAGCAGATGCATCTTGCTGTACCTGCTTTATTAAAGAATCTCTGACAGGCTTGTCACCGTCCTATAACAAACAATACAGATCCACTGACAGACCTAAGCTGGTATTATAACGTCATAATGCTACGTGTGACGCCACTTGCTTGTCACCGTCCTATAACAAACAATACAGATCCACTGACAGACCTAAGCTGGTATTATAACGCCATAATGCTACGTGTGACGCCACTTGCTTGTCACCGTCCTATAACAAACAATACAGATCCACTGACAGACCTAAGCTGGTATTATAACGCCATAATGCTACGTGTGACGCCACTTGCGAATCTCTGACAGGCTTGTCACCGTCCTATAACAAACAATACAGATCCACTGACAGACCTAAGCTGGTATTATAACGCCATAATGCTACGTGTGACGCCACTTGCTTGTCACCGTCCTATAACACTGACTGACTGACTGAGTTTAGTTTTACGCCGCTTTTAGCAATATTCCAGCAATATCACGGCGGGGGACACCAGAAATGGGCTTAACACATTGTGCCCATGTGGGGAATCGAACCCGGGCCTTCGGCGTGACGAGCCAACGCTTTAACCACTAGGCTACCCCACCGCCCCCCTATAACAAACAATACAGATCCACTGACAGACCTAAGCTGGTATTATAACGCCATAATGCTACGTGTGACGCCACTTGCTTGTCACCGTCCTATAACAAACAATACAGATCCACTGACAGACCTAAGCTGGTATTATAACGCCATAATGCTACGTGTGACGCCATTTGCTTGTCACCGTCCTATAACAAACAATACAGATCCACTGACAGACCTAAGCTGGTATTATACGTCATAATGCTACGTGTGACGCCACTTGCTTGTCACCGTCCTATAACAAACAATACAGATCCACTGACAGACCTAAGCTGGTATTATAACGCCATAATGCTACGTGTGACGCCACTTGCTTGTCACCGTCCTATAACAAACAATACAGATCCACTGACAGACCTAAGCTGGTATTATACGTCATAATGCTACGTGTGACGCCACTTGCTTGTTGTCACCAGTCCTATAACAAACAATACAGATCCACTGACAGACCTAAGCTGGTATTATGACACGCTGGTATTATGCATAATGCTACGTGACGCCACTTGCTTTGTCACCGTCCTATAACAAACAATACAGATCCACTGACAGACCTAAGCTGGTATTATAACGCCATAATGCTACGTGTGACGCCACTTGCTTGTCACCGTCGTATAACAGACAATACAAATCCATTGACAGACCTAAGCTGATATTATAACGTCATAATGCTACGTGTGACGCCACTTGCTTGTCACGTCGCAGTTGACCTTTGCGACCAGCAAATCAGACCGTTGGATTCTCTGAAAAATAATGAGTGAGCGAGTGAGTTTAGTTTTACGCCGCACTCAGCAATATTCCAGCTATATTGTGGCGTTGACAAGAAATGAAATTACATGATATCCATCAAACAACACAACAGGGCCCGTAAGTAGATTACGGCACTACGCGAGTACTTGGTACTTCTGGTGACAAACAAAGTTTCATACCTTTTCGAATGGTCTCATGGTTGTCAGTTGACAGTAAGGAGCCGATAATCCTTGCAGGAATTTCCGATCTATCCATCCCCATATTACCCAACTATTACGACTGTCAAGTGTCAACAGCTGTGACAGCCTAGCATGGTTGCACACTTGGTCCGGTCTAGTAATGTCATATTTGGCGGTCGTGCAATCTGGAACTAGAACTGGTTCTTGAATATACGCTTGTCACCGGAAGTCTGGTACCGGAAGTAACCTAGTTTCGCATATCGCTAGTTGGCGCGCACAAAGGGAGCCGGGAACCAGCTTAGAACTGGAAGTAGCGCCTCGCGAGACTCTCAGGCCCTACACCATATATAGTCAAACACTTTTGTGTCGAACTTGTATTGTACAACTTACTTTTGTCTCGACGTACAAGCTGAGTCCTGCGTATTCCTTATTTAGTAAGGATTTTATGGTTGTGTCGAACTTCGGATAACTCGAAGTGTTAACGTGGGTTCCTTCGACACAACCGTATTTCACTGTATTCTCAATTACACTGACTAATGTTGATCATTGTTGTTTCAGAACGATCGATCATCCTGAGTATCCATTTAAGATCCCCTTCTGAAGCGAAAGGATACTACTTGCTTACACTCAGGTCAAACGTGTGTATAAGACATGAATATTGCATGAAATAAACTGTTAGATGCCTGAAGGATTAATTGCGTTGTTCATGCATGGCAAACAACCCCTTGGGAACCACGAGTCCAAGTACCCAGCCACTTACGGTTGTAAGTGGTGATTAAATTGACTCTGTGGTAAAGACACAGTGGTTTGCGGCTTGTGGTCATGCGGGGTAGTTGAAAGCAGTGTGGCTCATGACACTGCAGTCACTGTGGCTGACGGCGTGTAGTCAGAAACTGTGGCTCATGGCGTGGCGTAGTCAGACACTGTGGTTCATGGTGGCTGATGTTGTCAGACACTGTGGCTCATGGCGTGTAGTCAGACACTGTGGCTCATGGCGTGTAGTCAGACACTGTGGTTGATGGCGTGTAGTCAGACACTGTGGTTGATGGCGTGTAGTCAGACACTGTGGCTCATGGCGTGTAGTCAGACACTGTGGCTCATGGCGTGTAGTCAGACACTGGTGGTTGATGGTCAGACACTGTGGTATGGCATGTGAAACTGTGGTTGATGGCGTGTAGTCAGACACTGTGGTTGATGGCGTGTAGTCAGACACTGTGGTTGATGGCGTGTAGTCAGACACTGTGGTTGATGGCGTGTAGTCAGACACTGTGGCTCATGGCATGTAGTCAGACACTGTGGCTCATGGCGTGTAGTCAGACACTGTGGCTCATGGCGTGTAGTCAGACACTGTGGTTGATGGCGTGTAGTCAGACACTGTGGTTGACGGCGTAGTCAGACACTGTGGTTGATGGCGTGTAGTCAGACACTGTGGTTGATGGCGTGTAGTCAGACACTGTGGTTGACGGCATGTAGTCAGACACTGTGTTTGATGGCGTGTAGTCAGACACTGTGGTTGATGGCGTGTAGTCAGACACCGTGGTGGCGTAGATGGCGATGTAGTCAGACACTGTGGTTGATGGCGTGTAGTCAAGTCGGACACTGTGGTTGACGGCGTGTAGTCAGACACTGTGGCTCATGGCGTGTAGTCAGACACTGTGGTTGATGGCGTGTAGTCAGACACTGTGGTTGATGGTGTGTTGATCAGACACTGTGGTTGATGGCGTGTAGTCAGACACTGTGGTTGATGGCGTGTAGTCAGACACTGTGGTTGATGGCATGTAGTCAGACACTGTGGTTGATGGCGTGTAGTCAGACACTGTGGCTCATGGCGTGTAGTCAGAAACTGTGGTTGATGGCGTGTAGTCAGACACTGTGGTTGATGGCGTGTAGTCAGACACTGTGGTTGATGGCGTGTAGTCAGACACTGTGGTTGATGGCGTGTAGTCAGACACTGTGGTTGATGGCGTGTAGTCAGACACTGTGGTTGGCGGCGTGTAGTCAGACACTGTGGTTGATGGCGTGTAGTCAGACACTGTGGTTGATGGCGTGTAGTCAGACACTGTGGTTGATGGCGTGTAGTCAGACACTGTGGTTGATGGCGTGTAGTCAGACACTGGTTGATGGCGTGTAGTCAGACACTGTGGCTGATGGCGTGTAGTCAGACACTGTGGTTGACGGCGTGTAGTCAGACACTGTGTTTGATGGCGTGTAGTCAGACACTGTGGTTGATGGCATGTAGTCAGAAACTGTGGTTGATGGCGTGTAGTCAGACACTGTGGTTGATGGCGTGTAATCAGACACTGTGGTTGACGGCGTGTAGTCAGATGCCACTGTGGTTGATGGCGTGTAGTCAGACACTGTGGTTGATGGCGTGTAGTCAGACACTGTGGTTGACGGCGTGTAGTCAGACACTGTGGTTGATGGCGTGTAGTCAGACACTGTGGTTGATGGCGTGTAGTCAGACACTGTGGTTGATGGCGTGTAGTCAGACACTGTGGTTGATGGCGTGAAGTCAGACACTGTGGTTGATGGCGTGTAGTCAGACACTGTGGCTCATGGCGTAGTCAGTCAGACACTGTGGTTGATGGCGTGTAGTCAGACACTGTGGCTCATGGCGTGTAGTCAGACACTGTGGTTGATGGCGTGTAGTCAGACACTGTGGTTGATGGCGTGTAGTCAGACACTGTGGTTGATGGCGTGTAGTCAGACACTGTGGTTGATGGCATGTAGTCAGACACTGTGGTTGATGGCGTGTAGTCAGACACTGTGGTTGATGGCATGTAGTCAGACACTGTGTTTGATGGCGTGTAGTCAGACACTGTGGTTGATGGCGTGTAGTCAGACACTGTGGTTGATGGCGTGTAGTCAGACACTGTGGTTGATGGCATGTGGTCAGACACTGTGGTTGATGGCGTGTAGTCAGACACTGTGGTTGATGGCGTGTAGTCAGACACTGTGGTTGATGGCGTGTAGTCAGACACTGTGGTTGATGACATGTAGTCAGAAACTGTGGTTGATGGCGTGTAGTCAGACACTGTGTTTGATGGCGTGTAGTCAGACACTGTGTTTGATGGCGTGTCAAATACCCAAAGGTAAGGACGTCAGGCATAGTATCATTATGACCCTACCTTTCACAAGTAAATACATAGGGTAGACCTAGTCCTGCCCTGTATCACCACAGAGAGACATACATAGGGTACTGGGGATCTAGGCCTGCCCTGTATCACCACAGATGGACATACATTGGGTACTGGGGACCTAGGCCTACCCTGTATCACCACAGATGGACACACATTGGGTACTGGGGACCTAGGCCTGCCCTTGTATCATCACAGAGGACACACATTGGGTACTGGGGACCTAGGCCTGCCCTTGTATCATCACAGATGAGACACACATTGGGTACTGGGGACCTAGGCCTGCCCTTGTATCATCACAGAGAGACACACATTGGGTACTGGGGACCTAGGCCTGCCCTGTATCACCACAGAGAGACACACATTGGGTACTGGGGACCTAGGCCTGCCCTGTATCATCACAGAGAGACACACATTGGGTACTGGGGACCTAGGCCTGCCCTTGTATCACCACAGAGAGACACACATTGGGTACTGGGGACCTAGACCTGCCCCTGTATCATCACAGAGAGGCACACATTGGGTACTGGGGACCTAGGCCTGCCCTGTATCATCACAGATGGACACACATTGGGTACTGGGGATCTAGTCCTGCCCTGTATCACCACAGAGAGACACACATTGGGTACTGGGGATCTAGTCCTGCCCTTGTATCACCACAGAGAGACACACATTGGGTACTGGGGACCTAGGCCTGCCCTTGTATCACAACAGAGAGACATACATAGGGTACTGGGGATCTAGGCCTGCCCTGTATCACCACAGAGAGACACACACATTGGGTACTGGGGACCTAGGCCTGCCCTTGTATCACCACAGAGACACACACACATTGGGTACTGGGGACCTAGGCCTGCCCTTGTATCACCACAGAGAGACACACATTGGGTACTTGGGACCTAGGCCTGCCCCTGTATCTGTATCATCACAGAGAGACACACATTGGGTACTGGGGACCTAGGATTGCCCTGTATCATCACAGAGAGACACACATTGGGTACTGGGGATCTAGTCCTGCCCCTGTATCACCACAGAGAGAGACACACATTGGGTACTGGGGATCCTAGTCCTGCCCTTGTATCACCACAGAGAGACACACATTGGGTACTGGGGACCTAGGGCCTGCCCCCTGTATCACACATGAGACACCCTTGTATCATCACACAGAGAGACACACATTGGGTACTGGGGATCTAGTCCTGCCCTTGTATCACCACAGAGAGACACACATTGGGTACTGGGGATCTAGGCCTGCCCTTGTATCACCACAGAGAGACACACACATTGGGTACTGGGGACCTAGGCCTGCCCTTGTATCACCACAGAGAGACACACATTGGGTACTACTGGGGATCTAGGCCTGCCCCCTTGTATCACCACAGAGAGACACACATTGGGTACTGGGGATCTAGGCCTGCCCTTGTATCACCACAGAGAGACACACATTGGGTACTGGGGACCTAGGCCTGCCCTTGTATCACCACAGAGAGACATACATAGGGTACTGGGGATCTAGGCCTGCCCCTGTATCACCACAGAGAGACACACATTGGGTACTGGGGACCTAGGCCTGCCCTTGTATCACCACAGAGAGACATACATAGGGTACTGGGGATCTAGGCCTGCCCTTGTATCACCACAGAGAGACACACATTTGGTACTGGGGACCTAGGCCTGCCCTTGTATCACCACAGAGAGACACACATACATAGGGTATCACCACAGATGGGTACTGGGGATCTAGGACTGCCCTTGTATCACCACAGAGAGACACACATAGGGTACTGGAGGCCTAGGCCTGCCCTTGTATCATCACAGATGGACACACATTGGGTACTGGGGACCTAGTCCTGCCCTTGTATCACAATAGAGAGACATACATAGTGTACTGGGGATCTAGGGCTGCCCTTGTATCATCACAGAGTGACACACATTTGGTACTAGGGATCTAGTCCTGCCTCTGTATCACCACAGAGAGACATACATAGGGTACTGGGACCTAGTCCTGCCCTTGTATCACCACAGAGAGACACACATTGGGTACTGGGGACCTAGTCCTGCCCTGTATCACCACAAGAGAGACACACATTGGGTACTGGGGACCTAGTCCTGCCCTTGTATCACCACAGAGAGACACACATTGGGTACTGGGGACCTAGGCCTGCCCTTGTATCACCACAGAGAGACACACATTGGGTACTGGGGACCTAGGCCTGCCCCTTGTATCACCACAGAGAGACACACATTGGGTACTGGGGACCTAGGCCTGCCCTTGTATCACCACAGAGAGACACACATTGGGTACTGGGGACCTAGGCCTGCCCTGTATCACCACAGAGAGACACACATTGGGTACTGGGAACCTAGGCCTGCCCTTGTATCACCACAGAGAGACACACATAAAGTACTGGGGACCTAGGCCTGCCCTTGTATCACCACAGAGACACACATTGGGTACTGGGGACCTAGGCCTGCCCTTGTATCACCACAGAGAGACACACATAGGGTACTGGGGACCTAGGCCTGCCCTTGTATCACCACAGAGAG